AAAGTCTATAGTTTTTTTGTGAATTAGAATTTCAAACTAACAATATTTACAAGCTAGAATATAAAATAAGAGCCTCTTATCTTTTCAATTTGCTAAGATATTGCTCATGTAATAAATCAAACACAGTTATTTAAACAACCTGAAAAAAAATTTTCTTTTCACATCCTCCATGTGGGAAATTTTATAAGGCTTAGCAACCTAGGACAAGCAGCAAACGAGTACAAAGGTCATAACTAAAAGAGATGATTGTTTGCTTTACTTCTATATTTACAGTTCTGTGTTTAAAAAAAAACAAGTTTAAGAAATTATTTGTAAATAGTAATAATGTATATGTATATAATGTATTATAGCTGAAATGTGACTATATTTTACAAAATACTAGTCTGCTAAAACACAGCCAAGACAGGTCACTTTGTAAAGGCCAGTTTTATATTATTGGATTTGGTATCATGAGTGCACATGTGCCTCGTCATTGCAACTTCTGTATTGTTAGCCAGGCATGGCTGAAAGGTCAATATAATAAAAATAATAAATATATACAAAGTATATTGTTATGAGATTTAAGCTATTTAGTCTAAACATTTGTGTTTTCGTGTTATAATCTGTAGTAATTCTAGTACAAAAACAGCATAATTTAAATTTATTTCCTAATTTTTTATGGTGGTTACGAGGCAGGTCAAATCGACAGATCCCATAGTTAGGGTGGAGAAAAAACAAAAAAATACAAAGTTTTTCTCAAAACAAGCATTTGAAATGTATTTAGGAGGTTTTAGAGATTACACAAATAATATACGAGAGTTTTAGGATTAATAATATCTTTTTTATTTATAACATGAAAATCACCTCTCAAAACAAATATTTGAAATGTATTTAGGAGGTTTTAGAGATTACACAAATAATATACGAGATTTTTAGGATTAACAATATTTTTTTTAGTTATAACATGAAAATCACCTCTCAAAACAAATATTTGAAATGTATTTAGGAGGTTTTAGAGATTACACAAATAATATACGAGATTTTTAGGATTAACAATATTTTTTTTAGTTATAACATGAAAATCACCTCGCACTTGGACTAATAACAGATCAAACTCGATATGTTCACAAACAAATCTATAATAAAAATACTTCATTAAAAAATCTGATTTTTTGTGTAAAGATACACTTACTGCATTAAAAGTTATAGTATAATTACTTAACTTGTGTATATTATACCGAGCCCGTCGCAAAAGGGTTAATAAACAGTAATTACATTAAAAATACCACAATTTGTAAGCATACTGAACTGACTTTAGGCTCTTTCCAGCCTGGCTTACAGTACCACTTTAACTAATATCATACAATGCTATTCTTAAAAAAAATTGTTTTCAATTTAAGCAGACTATATGCTTCCTCCAAAGTAAATTTCTAAAGACTAACAAATATTTTAAATAATAAAGACCAATAACTTAGACAAATGGGTGTTACAGCACTGTAAAATTCATATACAACAGCCAGTCAGTATTAAAGGCTGTTACACTTAATTTTTGTCAGAATTTTGACAAATTTATAAATAAAAGATGATGTCTAAGGTTTTTGCCTCTGGATATTATTACTGAATTTTTGGAAATTAATTATATTTCTGCACCTTTAAATTTTACTTCAAAAATTATGTCACAAATCACAAAAAAATATTCACAAAATCTACTTTGAACTTCAGTGCCTATTGTAGCATCTCTAAACCAATTAATTTCCAAAAAATGACAGCCTGCATGAGAAGTTATCTTAAATATAATGCTATTTTTTATCATAACAACGATACAAAATTATTTTTCTAACATGCTTCAGTTTCTACTTTACTAGCAAGAATGTTTAGAATGTGTTGTTCACAATAAATGTTGTTTTATAAGGTAATTTGTTTACACTATTGTATCATGGGTGATGCTTTTAATATCACTCGTAGTGATATAAACTCGGCTATTTCATTCGAAAAAGATCAAAGGTATTATTGAGGTTTGTTCTGACAATTCCAAGAGAGAGACCAATATTATACTAGTAGTTTATCACTGATCTTTAATGAAAATAAAAAACTTACCCCTTTTAACCAACTTCATGCTCCCCATACACAGATATTCAAAAACCACTATTTAGTATCCACCTGAAAATAAGATAATTAATTTATTGAAAATTTGTATTTATTTAACCTTTTCTGGACTGGAGAGGTGTCCCTTGATTTCTTCTCTTTATTTTATTATCTTTATATATATTTAACCTTTTCTGAACTAGAGAGGTGTCCCTTGATTTCTTACTTTTTTTATTATCTTTATATATATTTAACCTTTTCTGGACTGGAGAGGTGTCTCCTTGATTTCTTAATCAAATTTCATGAAAATTAGAACAAACGTACAAAATAATAACTTTAAAAAATGCATATAATTTGATTTAGTTTTATTATATTTTTTTGTTGTGAAATTTCCAAAATTTTATGATATGGCACTGTTTAAAAAACATTAACACACTTTCTTTCATTTTAGAATAACTTTGGAATTGTTGATCACAAAGTTCCATTTTATATATCCAGTCAGTTTGAGCCTGATTGATACTTATTAATATTGACAACTCCAGTATCACCATTTCTGGTTATTACTCATAAAAAGCACTTCAGAAACTGGCAAGGATTTATTGGTGAACTATTCAAATTGGCATCAGATCACACTATGTAACAATACTTTTTCTAAAAATATTCTTGGTCAAAATCAAGGTCTATATACTAATTATAGATTATTTTCAATACATTTTAAGCTCTTTTATTTACGTGTGCTGTTTGAATACAAAAAATTTAAGAATAATATTCAATAATTAATGAATATTTTACCATTGTTTACTGTTCTCTAAACCTAACTATGCTTACCTGATGTCTTTTAATAGAAAAAAATTCCATAGCTTTCAAACTAATACAATATAACACAAAAATAATTTCAGGAATGAAAAGAACATCCAAAGAAACTATTAAAAGCTTACAAGGCTAATGGTTTGTTCCTAAGTCTTCTAAGCTTCTCATTAGATTATACTGCACTTTTCTGTACGAGCTACATCTAATAACTTTCTCATATTATTGTATTGACTCTACACTGATGTAAATAGCTTTTAATCTGCTCTATCCATAATTTCATTAGTAGTTGTTTACACAACATTCTGAGACATCATAAAAGGCCTTGTACAAATAAAACTTCAGAGAAGTAAAATCATGAGATAAGAACTAGTTTTAGCAAATTGTATTCTTAGCAAATAAAAACCAATAAAAAACAAATCAGTAAGTGGATTTTTTACAAACAAGAATCCATGGAGTTGCCAAGAAATTTTTCTTTGTGAATTATACTAAATAATATTACAAAATGACAAAATATCAATTCTAGAAGGTTTTACATTGAAAATTATTTAAATAAAGTTACATTTATTATTTTTATTTAAATTTTGAAACTGGATTTGCAAGTGAGCACTTGATGTATGAAAGGTGCTATATGGGTCAAAAAGAGTTAAGGAAAATTTAAGTTTTTTAACAAGTTAACTGAAGAACCTTGGACACTACTAGTAGAGCATATTGTCTTAATGGCAAAAGATCCTTTTACATACAAGCTTCTTTCTTTATAGACTGAGAAAAAATTGCAAGTGTGTTAAGAATCATGAGTTGTCATACATGGCAAGCGATTCATGCTCACTAACTGTTTGATGTTATTAGGTATCGGAACCAATATAGCCTTTCAAGCAAATTGTTACAGGTGCCTGTAACATTAATAATGAGCCAACAAAGCTGGATTCCATATTGACTGTAATAAAATTCTGAATTTTAAGGCCCACCACTTTGTTTGCTGTATGCAGAGCATGGGTGTTTGTGAGTTGCATATTGCCATGACATGGAACACTGTCAACAGGTCTCAGGGGGGTGGATTACATGTGCCCTTTTTTCTTTATTATCGGTCACAAAGTTTCAAAGTACTTCTCTTGAGAGATTGAATCGCTAAACATTTCACATTTAATTTTTGTATTTATTTTACTGTCAACGACTGAAGTATAAATCCAATAAAAATAAAGGAACAAATCACCGCTTGTGTCATTAAACTGTTTACATGACAATGTAATGCGATACTCTCGAGAGCAACAAAGCATATGCACAGAAATAAGTTGAGTTGACCCCTGCTCCAACAACACGATGTGGACTTTATTAGCTATGTATCCTACAGTGATTACAACAAGAATTCCCCAGAGTAATAAGATTGCACTGTGAATGTGTGAAAATGTTTATTACAGTATATGGTTTGGAGCCAGTTCAATAAACATCACAAGTGTTTGAATATTGGTCATCCTTATGGGATGTTTGGAATTAAGCAGTATACCGTACAGGCATACAAAGTTAATTGTCCACTTTATCGAGTGCCCTTATAGAGAATGAGACCAAAGACACTGCTCTTAATCCAGAATATCGAGATGCTTGTTATTGCAAGATTTATTTTGGTTACAAATAGTAGAAAAAAGAAAGAAACTGAAAAGGTATGCCTTTAATGGTGTGGTGCCCATTAATCTAGGTTCTACCGTCCACATAATGTTGGGTGTGTTACCCAAACAAAGAAAGGTGTTTCAATTACACATATTGTTATCTATAGTAATTTAATGAGATAAATCATATCAGTAAGCACGGATGTCTTGAAAGGCAACGCAATGATAGTGGCTTTTCTTAACACATACAATTTTGAATGTAGAAATAAACTCAAGTTTTCAGAAATGCTTTACCTCCATATGGACCTTGTCGTTGTTGCAAATATTCATTTCTTCTTAGAGGACCTCCTCCATAACTGTTTCCATATCCTGACCCAAAATTACCACCCCAGCCTCCTGAAAAGGACCAATGATAATAATCTTCATTACAACTTATTAAATATAATAAATTATTTGTAAAATTTAAAGTTTTCCAAGTATTACCATTATAATTAATTGTGTCTTCAACTACTCTGTGTTATTCAGAAGATGTACTTTATTGCTGTTAAATGTTGTGGTTAGCAAGAAGCTATTGACATCATTAAGGATTCTTCTTGGATTCCTGTGTACTAAAATATACTTCAATCATACTCTTCCAATTAACAAATCACAAGCTATTATCAAGAAAATGATATCATATGTTGAAGTGTAAGCTCACCTTGTCCAAAACCACCACCACCACCACCATAGTTTTCATTCCATACACCACTGTTTCCATATCCACCTGAATTATAACCTCGAAAACCTGAAAATATGGTACTTGGATTTATTACAAACTTCTTCCACTCCTTTACCTTTCTATAAGGGTAGTATGTTCAAACTGTTGACCACGTTTTGTTTCTTTACAGCAAACGTAAACAACTAAAGCTCTCAATCTTTAATTGTCTCTCTTAAAACAACAATATTGTAAATATAAGTATTTTTGTTATCGTTATATATGTGTAAAGAATTCTATGAGCATTGTTTGTTATATTCCTCCTCATGTTCTCAGAAAATGAACTTATATGCTATAACAGAACAGTTATTACAATCTATTGTACACTGGCACTGTTTCTAAAAGCAATATGACAGACTGACCTTGTCCATATCCACTGTCAAAACTTCCACTGCCCCAATCCCCATGGTTACCTAAGAATTATTATTTCATTAAAGTAGTGATTATCTATGGTTGAAAATTTATGAAGAAAATCATTCATTACTAGATATTTAAAAACTAAAGATTTAACTTTTGCCCACACTTGTTGAACATTTAACTATGACTTACTATAAACATTTGTTTAATTTAAAACTTAATTTATGGATGTACACTTATGCAAGTAATCCTACAGGATAATAATTCTTATACACCACTATAACAGGAAATAAAGTTTAATCTTGATGTCCATCACCTTAATTATATAAACTATAACATATTTTGTTTTCATAAAAACTGTAAACTATATTACCTAAAACATTTGTAGCAAAATCAATTTTTTAAGAAAATGTTTCATTAATTATATAATTTTTTTACAATCAATATTTTATTAAAAACTACAAACTTCATTAGCTAAATAAATTGGTAGAAAATGAAAATTTTCAAGATAACATTTCTTTTTAGTAGCTCATCAATGATGTATATAAAATATTACCAGAAAAAAGAATGGCTAATGCTAATGTTTTACTGTATTTGTCGGTGTATAAGACAATACTTTTTACTCATAAAACAATGCCTGATTTTACCCCTCATCTTATACACAGGTTCAAAGATAAAGTTCCAGTTAAAACTGTCCAGTTAATAGCATATTTAACCAAAACTATGTTGTTCCTTTTACTTTTGTTGCTTTTTTGAGTAAGTGTGTTGAAATCGTGCTACCTACTGCATTACAATAATATATTTGTAATTGTATCAACTGTCTAGATTCTTCACAACTAGTAGTTATTTATCTCATATGCTAGTTACAATTAATCACGACATTTTTGATTTGAAATGTATTGATCTCATCTGTTATACTGTTATATCGAAGAATGTTATTTTTTTGTAATTTACATTAATTCTGTAAACATATAGTACATCACTAGTATTTTTTGTACTAGAAAAGGAGTTCAACTGTGATGAAAACTTTGTAGTTGTTTATTACATGTTTTTGACTCAAGTTATGCCTCACTGAGCTGTCTGTAGCATTTGAAGAGCACAAAAAAAAAACACACTTGTAGTTGTATTGTTTATGCCAGAGTGTAGGTTAGCACAGTTTAAAAATAACTTCTAAGAATTTGTTTACAAAAGTAACATCCTAGACCTGCTTGACAATAGGGGTTGTCCTTCAAGAAATACACTTAATTTGCTCACAAAATCCAGAGTCGTCTCGCACGTGGGATCGCCTTATACACCAACAGATACAGTAATTAAAATAGTCTATATTTCATTACTGAAACTGATTTAGTAGTTTTACATCTACTATAATATTCTGAGAACTATATCAATTGACAATTAAATCAAAGCAGTTTCTAACATTCTGTTTTTGTACCTCGCATGGAACTAGACATCCGACTACCAGATCCACGGCCTCCTTTTGTGTCTGATGATCTTTTTATATTTTCTATTTCCAATTTGGAAAGTGCCTTCTTAACTTCTGTCTTCTTTCCTTTTAAGTAATGATGTCTCTTCACTTGATGGAGAAAACGGTTGAACAAATATTTTATTAGAAAAATATTACCATTTGTATCTGACAGTAAACAAGGAAACTTGTCACAACAACAGACAAATCCTGAAATTACAAGAACAATCTAACTAGTGCTGTCCCTGAAGGTTTGTTTGCTACTTAGACCTTCGGGGGTTCATCCAGGTGTGTGTGTGTAAATGTACCTTTATAGCAAGAGAGCAGGGAGGGTGTCATTCGTATGTATCAACTGCTCTTGTACTGTAAGATTACATATCTGTGAGTCTTGCAAGTGCATCAGATACATGTACATAAACAGCATGCTTTTATATTATTGTTATTATCATTATTAACAGCATGATGACTGTTCTATATAACATATTTAAAACTATACGTGGATGTTTTATTTCATTTCTATACATTACCTGTAAAATACTAGGATTTCTAATGCTAGCAGCTAGGGTGATGTCATCAATAAATTATGCAAACTAACACTAGTGAAGGTTCACACCTTAAAAGGTCAAAATTTACCCTTCGGGTTCAGCTCTAAATCTAACAGTAAATACAGAAAGTTGTCACAGAAGGAAACTACTAGTACAATCATAATTCCTTGTATTTTTTATCATTATATTGACTATTTTATAATTAATTTTATGATAAACACAACAATACTCACACACAACTTTGTCCACAGGATCATAGTCATCAAATTCAATAAAAGCAAATCCTCGTTTCTTTCCAGTCTCTTTCTCTGTTACAATGCTCACGCTGACAACATTACCGTAAGTACTAAAGTACTCTTGTAAATCACTTTCTTCCACATCATCCTTGAGACCACCAAGAAACACTTTTTTTACAGTAGCTTGTGCTTCTGGTTTTCCTGCATCCTAGGGAAGAAGTATTGAAAAATATTTTAACAAAAACATCTTCAATACATTTCTAACCAATAACTGATTTATGAGCAAATCCTATAATGCCATAACGAAATGGGTCTATGATCAATCCAGTTCAATATTTGTAAATCACAACTAAAAATGTATTGTAGTTAATATAATTACTTCATTTTCTTTCTTTTTTTTTTTTGGTGAAGTAATCAAACTTAATGTTGAAGGAGAAAGGACACAAACAAAGGAATATTGCCAGGGATTGAAAAGGTGGGAAATGTAACAACGAAGAGCACGTACTGGACATAGAAGCCTATTCGGATCAGACCGGGGATAAAAGTGGGAGATGGAAGGAAGTGAGATCGGTGAGAAGGAAGAATTACCTTCATGAGCTGCTGAAGTGTTGGAAAGGAAATATGGATAAAAGAGAATGTCAGATTTTAAAAAATAAATATATACAAGTTCTTCTTTTTGCCAATTGTCGAAATAAATGGCTTTTACTTATATTTCATAATAGTATAAATATATACTATGTTATTGTTGGGCTTAGGATTCTTCTACAGTAGGTGTCTGTGACTTGTTAACCATAAATATATATATATATATATATTCGGAACAAATTAAAAAGTCAAAAGTTGTACAAAAGTCCACTTAGGCCTATTCAATTACTTTAGAATTTCAGTTGACAAGTCAAACTATCTTCTCTATATTACTATCGTACTAGTATTCTGTGTCTGATTCCCCCCCCCCCCTACTGGCAATAGTGAGTCTCATTGCTGAGAAGCAACAAAGAGGTAATCTTCCTGATGGTAAGCCAAGGCAAAATGATCTGTGGCCCATGGAGAAACAATCTGCTCAGCATGAACCCCAATGTCAGGAGAAGGAGTGAAAACAAAATACTGGGAAGAAGGGTTGTCATGTAATAAGAAAGAAACTGGGTTATAAGAAATTGGGGAAATAGAGAAAAACGGAAAATACCCAAGAAATCATATCTAAAAAAGGTTGTATTAGGCCCATCAGATTCCAAAGAAGAGGTGCGGGAAGGCACTGTATAATTGGGAGGAGGAAAAAGGCCGTCAAAATCCTTGTCATAAAGAACAGGTTTGGCTTGATTAGAAGGAAATCAAGCACAATTGAGAAGAAAATCGACTCAGATAATATTCAATCTCCCGAGAAATAAAGGCCGAGAATACCTCATTCAAGTTCCCCCTACCTGAATCCTGAGTAATTGTGGTAAACCTCCAAATTGGTAACATTAACTTCTGTATTCATCATAAAATGATGAAATGGTGAAAGTTATTCAAATAAAAAAGAAGAACTAAGTTAAATTTGCACAGAAAACTATAAAATTGACAAACAATAGTAAAATGTTGAAATAATCTTTCCACTTCATATGATATTAATAAAGAAAACATGTCTTGACTTTAGCACTGCCAAATGTGAAGTGATAGTTTTGGAGAATCGAACAGAGGGAGTCACATGAATCACGTGTGTTGCACTCCTACTAGTGGAGGTTTGTCACACAATGATTTACAAGCAAGACATAGTTGAACTACGTTGATCGTGGGGTACATGGGAGATCAAGGCTTTTGGCATGCGGAAAAATGTTGCATAGAGAGGGCAGCACTGAAAGAGAATAGCTATATCTTTGAGAGAAGGTAAGGTACCATTTAATAATTTTTTATATCCTTTACATTAAATAGTTAATTAACCTACAACACCAACAAATGGTTTGTTCATTTAACAGCATCTTTCATCACCTTCTTGATTGTCAGTGATGAGCAGTGTGGTATTTTTCGGTATATCATAAACATAAGAAACACATATAGCTGAAGATAATGCAAACATCAAAGATACCCAACTGACGAAACAATTCAATGCAATAATTATAACTAATAAAAGAAAAAAAGTATAACTAATTAAGTGAGTTGATTTTTAGTTCTCATCTATGTAGGTAGCTTGTTTGGTCATAAATAAATATTAATTACTTGATAAACACAATCACCATGAGTTATTAAAATGTTTCTGTAATAAGAAGTAAAAAGAAAACTTACCTCTCGAGGGACGGCTCTCTTTGGTTCCACCACCCTATCATCAACTTTATGGGGACGGGCAGCTTGTGCATCATCAACCATGTGTGCTTTTTTGTAAGTGATAAAACCAAACCCACGGGATTTCTTTGTGTTTGGGTCTCTCATGACCACACAGTCAACAATTTCTCCCCACTGTTCAAAATGTTCCTTCAGTGATTCATCTGTTGTCCTGTAGTCTAGCCCTCCAATAAAAAGCTTCCTGAAAACTTCAGGTTCAGTTTCAACCTGAAAATAATTCATGTTTTAATAATCCTTCATTTGCTAAGAACAAATTGAAACATGTTATGAAGATTAAAGACACTAACATTTTCTCCCAAGGTACACCCGATTTTTGGACAGTACGATGTAGCTTTTACATACAAAGGATGTGTCCAATTATTTTTGTAGAAGAACTTAGCTATTTTGAAACAGTTTGGTTTTTTGAAGCTTTCATAAAAAAATGCTATGAAATGAAAAGTGCACTATTGTTAAATAAAACCACTATAAATTATTATATGTAAACCTACAAAAATCATGCTTAATTAGTTATTTCAAATTTTAAAACTCTCAAGTCACTGTCTTTATCCTCACTTATTTCTTCTTTCTGACTACAGTTATATCTTATGGTTGCTATGTACCATGGGTGGCCCACAACGTCCAACAGAAAACATGTACATGTCCCACAGTGGCACACGATGTTGTGAACGTGTTAAGTTATCCAAGCATTGTACTGTTGCTAGTGTTACAGTAAGTAGGATCTTTGTATTAATGAAAATATTGAATATAAGTCAAAATACATGATAATTTAATTGTATAGATAACTGGCTAAGCCTAATTTTGAGTCCGTCTCGGACTCTTTACCTTAAAAACAATAATAAATTGCTGAAAAGATTGTCATATGAGAACAAGTAAAGATCTCTAAAAGTGCTTTTTCTTGAAAAAAAGATTAATTAGTGAGAATCTCATTGAGATGTTTAGAATTGTGAGAAGAATTTAAAGTGTTGGTGCTTCATCTTTCATACATAACGGTGAGAATGATAGGACAACGGGATAAAAGTATAACTTTTGATAGGGTTTGTTGTTAAGCACAAAGCAGCACAGTGCTAAAACCTGATTTTTCTGATAAGGTACAAGTCCTCTTCAGCTAAGACAGTTTTAGTTTTCTAACAGGACGGTTGGCCTTTGAAATGGATTGCCTTCAGAGTTATTATAAGCAGTAAATTTAAGAAAAGGCTCAGTAAATATTTGAATGATAAGGGCTTGCTTTGAATGTTTTTAGTAGTTCAGCTGAGTGGAAGGGGCAGCCTAGAGAGATCAAAAGTTGTCCTTTAATGATATTCCAAAGCCTGGTTAATCTGTTTGAAAAATAAAATTGCCTAATTTGCTGGGGACATCTACTTTTCCAAATCCAAAATCTATGTCCTGTAGTCCTACCATTCTTAATATTAACCACACAAAAAAAATCAGTCATCAAGGTTACCTATCCCATTTATAATTTTGAATATGTCTATCAATTCTCCTCTTAAGTACAGATTACAGTAAAGTCATATGCTCATTTTTAGTAATAATACATTATACTGCTTATCTACAAAATTAGTAATATCTTGTAATTCAGAATAATAAGGCCTAATATATTTCATTCTGACATTTCTGTACAACTCACTATTAATACTAGGTTATTTGACAATATGGGCAAATAAATGCATGTGGCATTAAATATTTATAGTATGTGTAAGACAAGATAATACGTATCTGTTACCTTCAATCTGATTCTGAAACTTGATGGGAATAAATTATAAAGTCTAAACTATAATAGTGTTGCTGTTAAATAAAATAGTAGAAATGGTTCTTGGTCAGTTGGTGTTTTAACTTGACTTAAGCCTCCACCCCAGGCAGTGTTAATCATTAATGTTATTACTGCTACTGCCAATGAGAAATAAAATAGGATTTTGAGTTGTATCTACAACAACATTAAATATAAACTCTAAATGTAAGTCAAATGAGCCTAACGTTTCTGTTAATTTTATAGATTTATAGTTAGGCCTAATTTAGATTATGTTCAGCCTGGGTTCTTTAGTTTAACCTTAAGGCTTAATGTCATCGAGTTGTTGGAAAGGATTTAAACTAAAGCCTTTAGTAAAGGAGGGCTACTTTAACTTAAGTTTAATGAATCCTGTCATATGAGTACAGGCTAATATACTCAAAATTCTTTTCTCATGAGAAAAGAAGGGTTAGAACTTAGACAATTTACATTGGTACTGGTAGTCAATTGACTACGTAGTGCTTTTAAGTTCTAGCCTACTCAGATATACTGTATTAGGTATAGCGTAGGGTTGGAAATGTACCAAGTGTTACATTTTCCAAAAAATATTTATTTCATATGCATATTTTTGAATTAAACAAACTAAATAACTAATTGTATTAGATACAAATTTAAGAAAAAGCAATAACGAAACTTACATCCGTAGCACCCATTGTAGTTTTTGTACTATTTGATTATTTCAATTTTGTAGAAACCCAAAGTTACAAAACAATGCTATCTAACAACTATCTTAACCTCAACATCAGAACGATAAAGAGTGTAGGCTTACGAGTATAGGAGGCGCGACCCATTGATTTCATAACTAAATTAATAAAATGTGAATAAAGTATCATTTGATTTATTGAATATGTAGTTCATTGCGATTTTATTATGATATGTAAAAAAACATATTAGTAATTTTCATACGTTTGAATTCAATAGTTCCGACATTAACCGAGCTTTTCCGACTTCTTCCCGCCTCTTTAATAGTGGAAGAAAGGGTAGCCAAGAGAGTAACGAGTCGAGTTTTAGCGAGAAGAATCTAATACAAAGCATTAAAGTCGGTGTAACTAGAAGTGCCAGTTTGTTTCTTGTGTTTCGTTCAAATAGCTTTTAGGTACATTTGACTATATTTATCATATGAGTAGCAATAATGAAAACTTTTAATTTGCTGATTTATATCATATTGTAATAATTTAATTTTAATAAGTAAAATATAAAAAAAACTGGATTGTTGCAGGCACTGTGAATGACTGAACCCGGTATTTGGTAAGCCTAACGTTAGGTTTCAAAGTTGCAAATGGCGCCATTTCTGGCGTTTGATTCTGTAACCGTTAATCAGTGTTATAGTTACTTAAGTTTTTAAGCATATATTTATATCATTTCTTCAGCCTTAAGTTTAATAAGTAGCAACTTTATAGATTATTAGGCTTAATTAAACCATCTCATTAATAAAAATCCCGCTATAGACATAAGTCAAATTTCAACTGTTTAGTCGAAGGTGAAACTGAAACTAAAAGCAACATTATTAATATTATATATAAATTATAATTATATAAAGTCAGTTTGTAAAGTAACAAATGACGTTAATAGTAGGGTACGAAAAATTTATGAGATTAATTTAAGTTTTAGCATGTTTTACAAAATATGAAACGAAAAAAAAGTACTTGGACAGGACTTTGTAAATAATTCTATCTCCAAATAGAAATATCATTATCCAAAACATATTAAAAACCAATGTTTTTAACATCAAAATAATTATAGCAATAATAATCGGGAAAAAAGAACCACAAGAAAAAAACACACCTAATTCAAAGATTATTCACAATAAGAATATTAAACATTTCTCAATGTTAAACCACACATTAAAGATGAGATTATCATAGGACCTTATCCTGATGAATCTAATACAGGATTAGTTATTTGTTGTTCGAATTATATCCTCTCCAAAAAATTACTAAGGTGTTAGTAAAAATGGACAATTTGTGTCTCAATTGATGGATGAAACTTTTAAAGCCGTGAGAATTAAACATATCTTCACAACTCTGTATCATTCTCAGTCTAACATTACTGTAAGAGCAAATATAGGGATAATGATATCTGTTTACATTGAAAAAAAAATCAACAAATAGGTTCATGAAAGTTGCAGGACTTAACAGTTGAAATATGTCACAGAAAAGGAAAAGAGAACCAGTTACTTGATGTAGACATCCTGCTGATCCTCTAGAAGAAACTCCAAATCTGGATGTCAATAAACTATTACCTAAACTTTTTGTTGTTTTCAGCATTAGCACTCGAGAATATTTGGCTACTGACTAAGCTGAAGATGTAGAGTATCAACATATTAACTCTTACTTGAAAATTGGACAGATGATACTATTACAGGTATAGAGACTAGATAAATTCAAACATTATATTTTGAATGTTCTTTATTACACAAAAAGGGGAGAAATAATGAATTCAGACAAGTTATTCCCAAAACATTAAAACTGTTGTTAACGGAGTTACATGACGTCTAGGTATTAGAAAAACTCTAGACAAAATATTCACATGTGGTTATTGTCTGGTATTAGATGGGACATAAAAAAATTTTGTTACCGTGCCACGTTCATCAAACCATTAAATTTGATGAGAAACAGCCTGCAGGATTTATTCCAAGTACTATATTACCAGAACCTGGTTGTATCAGTGTTTTGTTTTAGTCCTTTACAAAGTAAGTACTTATAAGCTACAGTAATATCTTTTATGAGTTACAATATTTTGCATATCACAGTACTAGTCAGTAACTTCTAGTCAAGTTCGTGTTTTAAGGCCTTTTATTGTCTTACAAGATCCCGAGAGAACACATCTTATGACAACTATGTAATATTTGTTTTACACAAAAAAATAATTAATCATGAACCTGGTATTCATACACATGTAGGTGTATAATATTAAAAGTTACTTCTTACTTCACTTGGAGGTAGTTAAGCATGCACTTAGGGCCAAATAATAAAAGGAAACATAATATCTAACAAGATCCTTATGGAAAACTTTTAAATTTTCATTACTTTTTATATCTTGGTTTATTATTACAATTATACCTACAGAGAATTAATTTATATTGCAACAGCATAAAATGAAATGTCACTTGGCATCACCCCCCTATTTGTATAGATAATTTAGATGGATCCTGGATATAAAGTTATGAACAAGTATGCCATTACTGGGGGAAAAAAATTGTCCGTTACCAAATATAATGTAGGGAGTCCGAGGGAATTATAGTTCCTGACCACGGAAGCATGCGAATACGAAATCAAAGTTTTGAATATATAATACTCACATAAATAAAATCTGAATGATTGTACAACAAATAGAAAACATCTACGTTATTAATACACACTGAATTGGCATGATATATGAAAAGGCAACCGTACTCCCACTGGTTGAAATTGGTTTTAAAAACTCGTGATTATTGCTAAAGCCGTTGTCTGCCATCTGTTTGCGAGTGATTGTTAAAACCGAAACCAGTGTGTCAGTTAGAATTGGCTTGACCAATGAAGGCCAGTGATGCATCAAATGGTAACTCTCTTCATGCTCTACTTTGGTCTGGCCTGTTTCATTGGATCAAGAAGCATTTACAGAAACCAGTGTGTCAGTTAGAATTGGCTTGACCAATGAAGGCCAGTGATGCATCAAATGTTAACTCTCTTCATGCTCTACTCTGGTCTGGCCAGTTTCATTGGATCAAGAAGCATTTACTGTCAGAAACTAGTGTGTCAGTTCGAATTGGCTTGACCAATGAAGACCAGTGATGCATCAAATGTTAACTCTCTACTTTGGTCTGGCCTGTTTCATTGGATCAAGAAGCATTTACTGTCTGAAAACTTGCATATAAAACTTTAAAATCATTTAAAATTCTATTTAGCAATTGAAACAAGGGTATACAATATCCGTACCTCACAAAACTGAATACAGGCTATAACCTTAACACATTCCATGTGTATTTGTGAATAATTGTAAAAACAAACAACTTTAGTGGAGCAAGGATAACACAGTCTTGAAATTAGTTTTCCACCTGTGCTTTAAGAGTTAATATAATTATCATCACATAATGAAAGCAATATTCTGTTAATCTAACTGATTTTTACCAATAATTATTCTGTGAATAAGCCACTTTTGCTACTAATGCTCCTTAAATAATATCATTGTATATCTGCACTTATCTTTCATTGATAATTCATAGACAAGCACTTAGCTTTTGTATTATGATTATATCTTGGGATAACTAATATCTTGAACTTGATACAGTTTATCAATTTCTTCGTGACATGACATAGAACGGGTTGAGTTTACCACTTATACATATCTGTCAGTCACGGTATTTCAAGTTTTCAACCAATGTCATAAAATCTCATTTACTTTTATAACTACACGGGTGAGCTCATAATTAATTTCTAACGTTTGGTTGCCAAAATGTTCATTTATCCATATAATATGTATCGACGTGTACTAGTTTGACATTGATCGATTTTTGGGGACTACGTTTTCTCTTGCCTTGACACAGGTTTCTGGGTAAATGATAAATCACTAATATTTTGTTCCAATGGTACAGTAGCGTGGAACAAAAGCTCAATTTCCAGGTATAATTTTAATTGTTTTTCATTAATTATGAACTAAATAAGTGAACTTGGAGTTTAAATCTACTGATTTGTGTCTGTGGATTCCAGTGGTGTGTGAAATTGTTATTTCCATTATTTAAAAATCACCGAAACCACCTATTTATATAGATAATTTACATGTATCCTGGATAGAAAGTTTGCTGTATAAAAAACTTGAAGTTATAAACAAGTATGCCACTACTGGAGGAAAACAAATATAATGTAGTAAGCCTGTTTAAGAAACTTATTTTTAGTTGTTGTTTTTTTCATGAATTCCAAAAAATGCAGTGCAGGCTAGAATACAAAATTTTAGTCTGTTTGTTGTTTCCAATCTGATATATTAGCTTAATTACACAATTATTTTGAGGGGGAAAACATGTACAAAAGACTAGTTTTATAAGTTGTGTTCTTTGAAGAAAGAAGGATTTTGGCTTGTCTCCCAAACACAAGTAAAACTTGTTTCTAATCTCAAGGTTTTCAATATAGATGATTAATTTAAATGTAAGAAATATGAGTTGTTTTATAAAACTCATTAACTTGAAAGATAATTCATTATTTTTACGTTTTGACAATGAGCAACACTCATTCGAACTGACCAGTTATGTCATAACATGTTTTCATTGGTACTTGAAGCTAACAGCTTGGTCATTTGTTCTTTGAGCGAGTTATACTCCGTTACTTGCATTAATGTTATTAGGTAGAATTATGAATACATTTATGTTTAATATGGAGATTATTTTACATTAGCTTAGTATGTGGATTTATTACTAATTTAACTAGCCAAATCTCGTGACATGCTGTTAACAGTAAGGGTACTCGAATGGTGAACGTAAGCGTATTAATTTAAAAATACTCGTGTTAATTTTTATTCAAGCAAGTGGCACTGATCTTACATTGATATTTATTTAGTATGTATGGTGTTTAGATTGTTTTTACTCAACACAAGTAACTTATATTTCTTTGATACTTAGTATCGTTACAACAAATAAACTCTTCGTTGGAGTATTGTACTTCACGAGACGTAGTTTTTACCTGTGTGATAGATCTTTGTTTACTTGGATTTGAATGTTGACTGAATATATTTAGCAGTTTTACTATGGCCTTCACAGTTTTACATTTAAAAAATTAAATAAATAACTATCATTAATGTATGTTAATAAATTTAGTATGGAAAAGTTTATAATTTAAATTTTAATATCCATAATTTAATTTCAAAAAGAAACATTTAAAACATTTTATTTTTCACTCTCACTTGATGTATTAGGTTTAACTACTTCATAATTTTTATATTAAAAATAGGCTGTTGTAGTTTCTGAGTAATTAGAAACAAAATGTTGATATAATTACAAGTAAGAATCTAAAACTTGCAACTAATGCTTTGATTTCATGAGATATCGATCTACGTGTTAAGCTCCTTCTCTCTGACTGTTGAGTTATCTGTTTATAAATACTCGTCTGACGTATAGTTCAAGTTTGTTGGTAAAATAAAGTTAGTTATCTGTTTATAAATACTTGTCCGACGTGTAGTTCAAGTTTGTCAGTAACATAAAGATAGTTATAGACCTAGACTGAGTTTATCTATAAAGATCATATAGTGGTGGTCATGTTTTAAGTAAAATTATAGCAGATTGTAAAATTATTATTATTTACTCTGTTGTTACAATTACACTGTTGGTTACAACAGTTGTATACACAGGTTTGTATAATTACAGTAGAACCCAATTGACAAGACCGTACGTGAAGTTATCACCGATTACGTTGTAATAACAGAGTAAATAATAATAATTTGTCTTGTCAATTGGGTTCTTCTGTAATTATACAAACCTGTGTATACAACTGTTGTAATCAACAGTGTAACGTACGTGAACTTATTACCAATTACGTTGTAATAACAGAGTAGAGGAGATTAACTGTGTAATGAACTCTTCTATATACATTTGACTTGTTTTAGTATTTATTGTTAAAATTTTATTGCCAACAAGTCACAGACACCTACTGTAAAGAATCTGACCCATACATATACATCAAACCCGACACCCTAACAAAACCTCGTGAACATAGCTCATATGTATTTTAAGAGCTGTTTATGGTAAAATCTACTTCAAAAGTTAATGGGGCTCACTCCAGTGGGTACAGAAGTGCAGCAGTAAGATCATGAAATTAAAAGAAAGCAGATATGAAAAGATAACTGTTAAGGAACTGAAACTGTTGGAAATGTAGTCAGTGCAGAGGAGAAAATGATTTTACTCATATTATACTTTTCACTTTTTATTTCACTGTTTATTGATAATTTCTCTACAGTTAGTGTTAGGGTAGAGAAATAATAGATAAAATATAAACTTTACAAAGAAAAAAAAGATATTTTTGTGAAGTTCAAAAGTTTATGCTAATAGAAGAAGTAATGACAATATGAAAAAAGTGTATTTTTAATCTTAGCATGAAAATCACCTTTCATTCAGACTGGTTCATGGAAATACACATATCTATCTTAAGTAGAAATACTTGATTAAAAATTTGTTTTAATTTTTTCTCTCAAAGGAAGCAGAAAATGATTGGCAAAGTTACACTGTAGGTTCTGTGGTGTGCCCCTCTGAGAAAAAGTTTTTATTTTTCACATTTTGATAGGATCTGGGGCTGTTTTTACATCTTTCAATATGATTTGTACATCACTGGTTGTATTACTAATACATTCATTAGGCCGACTCACATATTTTTGTGTTCACAATAAAAAGAAAATGAATTTTTCAAAATAAAAATTTTCTTCGTATCGTATTATTTTACCTTAAGCCATACTACGTAGAAAATCTACAAGTTTTAACTGTATCGGTTGATTAGTTCTACAGATATATTTTACTTGTACGTAGCTGTTATTACATGATTTTACATGTAAATATACACACACACCATGTAAATTACATATTTTTCCAAAGGTACTAGTCACATGTTTCACCTAAAATTAACTCGAATACTGTTTAAAATGTGGTAATCACACCTATTGTGACAAACTATTGTTGAACACTTAGAAATGATGAAAGATTTATTCACTTATCAGTGCCTGTTACAACACTACTGTACACTTTTTCAGATGTTTCATTAATGTTTACGACAATGTTTGGACCTTAAGTGACATAATATAACTACACGGTTACTCAAATCGGATTTAATAGTTTCATTTTGAGTTTACTTTCTGATTAACTATTATTTTATTACATATAATAAAATTTGTTGTTTCAGTAGTTTTGAGCCCACTATGGGGAAAAAGAAACAGAAGGAAGCCAGCCCTCCCCTAGAAGAGGAGGAGGAGGAATACATTGTAGAAAAAATTCTGGACAAGAGAATGCGAGGTGGCAAAGTGGAGTATTTTTTGAAATGGAAGGGTTATCCAGAGTAAGTTATCCTGCACTATTTATATTCACGTTTTTTCTCTTAAATTTCAATACTAAGTTATTCCAAGATACAGTTTATAACTGCACAATAATAAGTGGATTTTTTTTGTTACCAAGCATCTTACATACTGGTTCTACTTATAATTATGAAGTATTCAAACAGTGCTTTTACTGACAGATTTCTTTAATCAGCCACAGTTTTGTTTCCGAAGGTCTGAGAATACTTGGGAACCCGAAGGGAATCTTGACTGTCAAGAACTTATTGCAGAATATGAAGAGAAGAGGAAGAAAAGTGGAGAAGATAAAAAAGATTCTTCAGATAAAAAGCGAAAAGTGAATGGAACTGAAGGGTCTGAAACCTCACCTCAAAAGAAAAAGAAAAAACTCGAGGTGAGTTGATGATTAAATACAGTACTGAGAAATATGGTGTAGGTGTTTTATTACCTGAAACTAAAGTTATTATCTGTCTGTAATTTACTTATATGACAGATCTTTTTGTTGTTACTAGATGTGCTGTTTAATGCTGTTGCAGGCATAAATTGTCATTTGGCTGAGTTAAATTTGTATAATTTTGATGTTACAGTGGAGACAATAAAATTAATGATTTAGTTAATAAATCTAAAGTTATAGTTTGATTCAACACAGTGTTTGGAATTTTTTTATTGTTATCTTTATCCTTGGAAAAGGCTAAGAGAAATGTTTTTTTAGGACTTGTTTTATTTTTCCTAATGAAGAAATTTCATTGATTGCAGCTTTACACGGTATGTATTTAATGTTTAGCACATTCATTTTTCACTATGGTGAAAGTAATTCCTAGTCATAGTTTTAATGTATGTGTGGCTGACATTTGTTTGCAAGGTGAATGTAGTATGTATAATAAAACAAAGTATAACAAAAAAAAACTGTTCATTCAGGTGGCTTAAGTATATGTTTTTATTGATTAATCCAAAAATACACTTGATATAACTCAATATGTGGCACTGGGCTTGTAAATAAATTGTATGCCTTACACTAATTTTATTATATATATATTTATATTGTTATTAAGAAATTAGATAAGAAACATCTGTCTCTCATATTATAAATGTAAACTTTGTTGTTTCTATCAATATTTGTAGGAGGATAACAGACCAAGAGGATTTGATAGAGGTCTTGATCCTGAAAGAATAATTGGAGCAACAGATTCAAGTGGAGAACTCATGTTCCTTATAAAATGGTAATTTGATATTTCTTTTAATTTATAGTAAGAAATGAATGAATTTTGGAAGAGAACAGATGCGTATTAGAGAGATGCATTTTCAGTATTACAATCATCATGGTTTTATATACTGCCAGAAACATGCAGGTCAAAATATACCTGCTAATTATCTTGTCAATGTACAGGGAAAATGTTTTAACTTTATAGAGTTGATTTAATTTTTCACTTATTTCAGGGTTTAGATTTGTTTTTGTTGCGAAAGCTAACACTAAAAGTTAAACATTATAAGAGATTTGTAATGATAGAAATAATGTTTGTTTTTTATAAACCCTTTGGTCTAAAACTTAATCCAAAATTGAGTACCAATGTGGTAGTTGATTTCTCAAAAGTATCACCAATACAGGTATTTTCCTGAGCTGACCTGTAAATGCTTTGTTTTAACACAGACACAACTTGTATTTTGAGTTGTTGAACTTCATTAGGCAACTTGGTACTTGTTTCCTCGAGAAAAGCTATTTAACATTCAAAATTTCAGTTTTTATTGGAGTCATTTTGAGTTAAACTACCTGTCTGCATAACTTATTAGTGGTTTTTATAAGGAAGCCTTCAGTAACAGGCTTTGAACTATATAGCATAAGTTGAAAGTTTCATTTGGTTGAAAACAAATCATAAATTATTGATAGGATAAAGAACATGGACATTTCAGATTTTTTTTTCAGTACAAACACTTGGAAAATAATGTTTCTAGTCTAAGTTCTTTCATTAGTTGTTGGCTAAGATTTGTTAATAAAAAGAGCGAGAAATGCAAATCTGAACAGCAACATTATAATAGAATCAATGTTATAAACCTAACTGCTTCACGTGAGGTAGTCAAATATTTGTTGTTAAAGATAGCTTTTCAGCTTATATGTTATTAGGTCACCTATTATTTAAATGGTGATCAGGATATTTTAGACCCCATAACTGAGTATTTATGGGACAATCCGTGCTGTAAATACAGCATTGGATGTGTCGTATTAAAATAATTCTCTCTCTGTTTCTTCTTAGTTTTTCCTAAAATTCTTATAATGGTTGCTGATTTTTCGTATAATCATCATACCCTAAGACAGGCCTCGACAAATCCTGGTTGCCATGGTGCCTAGTATTTTCTCCCATTTTATTCGTGCGTTGGACTGTGCTAATTAGAACTCGAATCTAGAAGTCCAGAACTATTTTTGTGTTCTTTGAGTCCAGTTTGTTTCTATGATTTTAATGGTGGATTCAGCACTTCATGTTTTTTCAGGAATGAAGCACTGTGTTTGAACAACACGATACTAATTTTGTGCCATTTTGTTTTTCTTCTTTCACAATTCAACCTGTCAGCGCACGTGTTTAGATTCAGACAAAACAGGACCAAAGGCAGTTTGTTCAAGCATTACAATCAAATGGTTGTTGATATCATGTGATTTTTAGCATGCACTCATTGCTGTGAAAATAAGTAAATATACACTGGTGCCTCCAACAGTAAAAAGATTATAATATAAACTTAAATCTTATTTAGATTAAACAATGGGCTAACAAGTGCCTCGATTATCTGCGACCTTTTGATTTCCCCGGAGCAGCGCAGATAATCTTTAATCACATTATGAAAAATTATAAAAGTCATCAGAATCATAAAAACTAAGTGTCGGTCAGTCACACTCGACTTCTCCAAACTTCGTGAGTTACACGAGTCCAATTCCACTTTTTCTTCTATAATACTTCCTCTTTTGATTGAATGTTCCTGTTTTAGTTTAATTTAATCACTAACGTAGGTGTAAATAGCTCCTAAATTTCGGCACTTTTACTGCTATAGACACAATAGTGCATTCGCACCCTATCAATGCCTGTGAAAAATAGGTCAAAAATTAGCGCAAGTCTATGCTTGGGAATTATTACGAAAAAGACTTTATTAAAACAGACTGAAGATACCAATTATCTGTAGGGAAGAGGACAATGTGTAACTGGTCGACACACCAACACAACCTGATCATGCATCTGTGGTTAAAGGACACCCGCCGTGCAGCATAGAACAGCGGACAACAACTGAAGTTGAGTGAAATCTTGATGTGTATTCTGTATGTTTTTTTCTATACTATGTTTTTAATCACTAATCAAAAAAGTTAACCAAGCTACAAATATTTTGTATTCCTGTCTTTACAGCTAAAAATAAAAAAGG